CCAGTTTGGAAAGCAATATTCTGTCCAGCTTTACTGTTGCTATGTCTAACATGAGCCATACAATCTGGCACAGCATTTAAGCAAGTTATTAGTGCTGATTTAGTGGTTTACATACGTCTACCATAACTTTTTAAGGCGACCCTTAACTTTTATTTGTTTCTTATCTTCCCCTCTCGCAACCGACGAAATACAGATCCAGCTTCTCTGACTTCCTTATAAAGTACATGTTCTTTTGTAATTGAACCAATTAAGAAGCAAATCTTTTACATAACGGACACACACACACAAACAAAAATATATATATATATATATATATATATATATATATATATATATATATATATATATATATATATATATATATATATATATATATATATATATATATATACACATCTTAGCACCTAGTGCATGCCATTTGTTTAAATAAACAATTATGCCGGTGATAAAAAACAATTATGGCTTTAAACTTTTGTGGACTTATTTCAAACAATAACATAAGAATTGTATATTTTACACTACAAACCATGAACACCTATATGACAAACGTCCATCACGGAAATGATTTTTTTAAAAATGAGAAAATCAGATAGTTACCATTTAGAAGTATACTGCTGCACATCATAATTTGACACTTCTATCCGTCATGAGATCTAATTTTGATTAGTTAATTACAACTTTCATTCCCCACCTCTTATTAAGCAGAGGACTGAAAGTATAGAGTCACTCGAGTGTGTAAAAGATCGAGACCAACAAACACTAGTTTGGGTATAACTAATATTAATGTGTATATTTTAAAAATTAAAACAAAACGCATCACGAATTTGACCAAGTAAGGCAAATGAAACTCTCCAATGCTTGCCAGAGACAATTTTCACCATAATATTATGTTGAAATTACTTATAATTTTGGACACACGGAATAGCACCCCCGTGTTTTCATTAGGGGGTGACCGGTAACCGCTCCGGACATTTGCCCCGGCCGACTAGTGAAGTATCCGGCAACATCCGGATTTGCCGGTTTTCTATAGCCGAAAAAATCCGGATCAGGATTTCTGCTTAGAGAATCTGGGGCCTGACTCTTAATTTGTGAACAATACAAACTGACAATACAAATTTGAAACTTACCAGCAGTACAGCAGTTAGGAATGCAAAATATAACTAATTTCCTATTTAGCCATCAAATCGGCGCATTATTTTTTTAATCGATATGTGGCAGCGTGGTGCAAATATTTTTTCATCGACAGATGGCGATTGAGCATTTATTGAGCATGTCTTGCAGCGTTTATAAGACTCCAAATAATTCAAAGTAAATATTAAATTAAATTTAAATTAATAAAAGTTAATTATTAAATAGAAAATTACACTTCTGGACCTCTGCGCCCTTGCTGGCCTTGCCCCAACCATGCGGATCTAGTATCCGGTGGCAAAATACACAACCGGTCACCCCCTAGTTTTCATGACTTGCGATATGTAGGCCTATTTTGCGCACAACTGTGAAAAGATGTAACTAACCCGATCTTGTAAAACATTAGTAAAGTTCCACATTTAAAAAATCTATTATGTGGAAGTGAAACAACAACGAATAGGATGTAATGTGTTTAAAACGTCTATTGTCTATGGGGAATCGCTCTAGGTACGGGAGGTAGTGTGTTTATCCCCAGACGAGTAATACTAAAGACATAAAGAAATGGTACTAACAGCTGCATCGCCTGGTGCTCAGCATTAAGAGGTTTGTATTAAGACTGGTCGTCTAGTGTTTGTTGTTATTGTTGTTGTTGTTGTGGGGCTTAACGCCATTTTTCGGCACACGATACATGGCGGCTAGTATTATTGGTGGTGGAAGAAACCGGGTGCGTGACGTCATTTATGGACGGCACCTTACTGTGCAGTTCCTTGTAATTAGTATGGACAAGGATTTTTAGCGCATTAAATTCTTTGTTTATTAAATAAGATTCTGTAGCACTTTCATAAAACATACCTTCAAGCCTCAAAAAGTGAATATTATTCTTTTCTCATAAAATACTTCGCAGTGTCTTCATTAATCCATTAAGTTATGTATTTGCTCATTCTACCGTATGAATTAAAGAATATTCTGGATTTACACACACACACACACACACACACACACACACACACACACCATGTATAGAACTGGTGTTAAAACGACTTACAAGAAAAACATCTTCTTGTAAGGACCATACACCCAAGTTTATTATTGCTCATTTAAATTTGGCTGTTTTCTCCCTTCAACAGAAATCGCTGTTTAGTCGCATTTAATATAAGATGTATGAACTCAAAAATAAAACTGAACGCAAAAACAATCATAATTTTCCCGTACATGAAGTATTTTTAATGGGAACCTCAACGTATCGTGGCGACTCCCCCGTTGTTTAGCCACATTCACTTTCCTGTTATGCGGCGTGCTCCCGTAGTATTGGTGTATATTTATATTCATTTCCTCGTGTCGTACCTTGTACAAACGCATTTACATTTCCCTAATCAATATCATTTAACGTCAGTCCCACTTCCAGTCCTTATTATCTACTGTCTACCTATATCACTTACCTTGCTATTCGTGCTCTCTGATATGTCCAGACACTCAGTATTTCCAACACTGAAATAATGAGCAGTTGTTCCGTCTTTGCTCTGAGAAAGTTCGAACATGTGTTGTCAGACAAGCTTTTCCACAGTGGACGTCACATTTGCTTCAAACCAGTTCAGTTTGGTTCACTAGCGTAAATAACTTAGATTTTTATTATCGCGGCACATGTCAAACGTGGGGAGACTAACCTTAATCTTCGCCGGGGGGATTTTTATTCAAACCGGGATATTTTCTTTCATAACGAGGTTTAGTTTTGTCCGTGAGTGTAAAGGATATAATTAAGTTCTTTGTAATACAAATCAATGGTAGTAAGTATATAATGGAAGCAGAGGCTAAAATGTATTGTTGCCTCACTTAAACCAAATGCAGTCGGTCAATATCAAACATCCACGTCACAAATACGGAAGTCTGTGCTTACCCATGCAGAGCTGTATGTCACAGTAAGAGACCAATTGAAATGTGCTTTCGTTACATCTTGCCGCATTTGGAATGCATTGTGCCGCATATGGAATACATCAGCACGCACGGAGGTAGTACCGTAAAATTTCAAGCCGTCCAATGTATGGAAAGCACACGCGTACGCGTTATTATCCTCCATAGAGTTACTGATTGTGGATGATACACAAGCCCCCAAAAATCTAGCAATATTTGGAGTATAGAATGAGTAGGGTCATAACTCACAAAAAAGCATATATACCACAACTTGCCTTAAAATTGTTGCGAATTTTCATACCGCAGAAAGTAGATTATTCAATATCTGGACTGCCAGCGTTCACAGATGTCTGAAAATAACTGCACTAATATTTGATATAATAATAACAATAATGAAATGCGCGTCCTATTTTCTAAACTTCCCCACCATAGACTTTAACAAATGGTACACTCAGCTGCTTCGCTTGGCGCTCAGCTTCAAGAGGTTAGTGTTAAGACGTCGGCCTGGTTTCAGGGTAATGTGAGTGGGTGGGAACATCATGCCGCAGACAAGACATCACAATGAAATATCACACTGCAGACATCATAGCAATATAGCTGAAAAATTGTTAAAAGCTACGTTAAAAATCTAAATCTCACACTTTTCGCTAGCCAAGGTTCTGATAACCCGGTGTAGATAGGGGCACCGGAATTTTGGCTAGTGGATCTCTCTCTCTCTCTCTCTCTCTCTCTCTCTCTCTCTCTCTCTCTCTCTCTCTCTCTCTCTCTCTCTCTCTCTCTCTCTCTCTCTCTCTCTCTCTCTCTCTCTCTCTCTCTCACACACACACACTTTAGCACCTACTCAATTTCCGACGGTTCATATATCTCACTATTTTATCTTTCTGTTTTGCTACTTAGTCTTTTGGTGCACATATGCGGGGCCCCGAGATGCCGAGTGATATAAAGTGTTCACCATTACGGATCATTGCTATCTTATCTCACCTATCTCTGCGTGAGTTCGAGTCTCGGTTTCTGCCAATGTGGGTATGTGAGAAAGCTTTCCAGTAGCTTTTCGTGAGTTGGTGGTACTTTTCGGGGTTTACCCAGGTTCTTCATCCACCATACTGGCCGCCATTTATCTTGTGCTGAAAATAGCGTTAAACCCTACAAGAAAAACAACATAGTTATGCGATGACGCCCATGACACAATTTATCGCATATTTTCCCATATTTCCTGAGAAAAATATTCAAAATTTAATAGATATTCATTTACTACTTTTCGTTCTTTTCCATGAAACATGTCCTTTCAGAACGAAATTAAATATACAGTGAAGTGTTTGTTTTAAAATTTGCACGTTTCCCAATACAGAAGAATACAAATTAACACATTTGTGATGGATTAATAATCTCAGTTCTTGTCAGGATAATAAAAGAAACTAACGGATGAAAGTGGTCTTTTAGGATAAAATGACTAACGGATAGCAGAGGTTAGATGATAGTAAGGTCAGAGTTCAGACAAATTAATCTCAGTTACACGTCATCGTTACCTAAGCTCTGGCACAGCAACCTATCAAGCATAACGATTACAAATGAGTCACGCAACGTTGATATTTGTCATCAGGTATAAACCAGCGTGTTGCGTCATGCTGACGATATAAAGAAAAAATTACGGGTTATACAGATTTATCTCATCATCAATGTTCGTAACAAATGTATATGTAAATACTTGCTGACGGCCAAAAGGCTGAATGGATGTGATGTTATGTGAATATGATTTTTAACATAGATTTAAAAAAATTTCAGTCCTATCGCTACGATGTCTGCAATGTGGCATATTAGAATGATGTCTAGCACTTCGTGCCGCAGACATAAACATGATGTCCCACCCAGTAACATTATCCTGATACCAGGCCAACCTGTCCTAACACAAACCTCTTAGTGCTGAGCGCCAAGCGAGGCAGCTGTTAGTACCATTTTTGTAAGTATTTGGTATGACTAGACCGGGGGTCGAACCCACGACCCGCCGCACCCGAGGCGTACGCTCTAACCTTTAGGCCACTATCAATGTTCGTAACAAATGTAGATGTAAATACTTGCTGCGGCCAATCGGCTAAATGGAAATACTATATATATATATATATATATATATATATATATATATATATATATATATATATATATATATATATATATATATATATATATATATATATATATCTTGACAATTGTCAAGAAACAATCAAAGACAACTGAAAATAATCGTTCGTAGCTAAAACTAGAAAGCACAAGTGGGGGTCGGGGGGGGTGGATGTTGGAAATTCATGTCTGTTCATTGTCCTATACATGCAGGACGGGGCAAGCGAGGGTGCTAAATAAAGCTTTCAGTGAAGTACGACGTGGGTGTTTGGGTTAATAATGTAATTTATTCACGTTGTGATGACCTTGCAAGAAAGCAAACACAAAAAGAGAAAAGGTCGTGTACGCAGTTTTGCAAGGCTGAGTTCAAAAGTACTAGAGATTTTCAGACACATATGTATAGCTCATGGGCTGCAAGACAACGTGGTTTATCGGTTATATGCCAATATCATTGTTAAGATTAATAAAGGTATTTACTTTGGGGGGTGGGGGTGGATTGGGTCAATAAGAAAAGCTCGTTAATTGGCTATGTATAAAAAATATTTATATTCGCACTCTTCAATGGGTTGCCTAACAGAGGGCAAATAACCAAAGAAAAATATGGTCGTGAGCTAGATGCGCAACTGGCTTATAATTTGTGCCCCACTCCTTACCCCTGTTAGCGGTTGCCCATGACCAGTTCCAACCGCACTGAACGCTAGGCGTTTTTTATTCAGACTCCTGTGCTGACACTGAGAAACGTACCGCAGAAGGAAGATACTACATCCGACGATTACTTAGATATGCGTCTTGTTAACCTTCTGCGAGATCAAGGGTTAAGGAAATTACAAGCCTTTATATAATCAGGAGGACGAATAAAATGTGGTTATAAAAGACTATCGCGCTAATGTGTCAGAAAATGACAAGCTCGAAGCTAACGCTTTGACATTTCCCAATGCTATGTTTCACAGGGTAAAAGATATGATCTCCAAAGGAACTTAAGGAATAGGGTGGTTTGAAGTTTAGCTTTGGGCTTACGGTACCAGAAAGCTTTATCAGCCTTACAAAATACACTGGATTAACAATCAGCATTAAGGTGACAGCTTATTTCCGGCAAACGGATCCTGCGCACTGAAGAGACTGGACAGATGGTAGCCAAAACTAATTCGACCATGCAGCACAACACTGAAAAATACATATGCGATGAGCCTAAATAGTAATTAGATATCTATAAAAAGTTTTGATGTCGGTGTGTTGGAGTACCATTCCACGATCATTCCAACATTCAAGTAGGGAAGAACATACCACCATGGTCCATTGTAGCCGTGCAGAACAATGACAACTGCTCCTTTCATTAAGCCATTTTGTCAATGCTTTACCAAGCAAACGATAGAAATGATGATCAGCCATGCGTGTACCGTCGTCATTTCGGCAAGCTTGGCCTTACAGGCTTTAACTTTCCTATGAATTTTAGTGGCACTGACGAATTTGAGCACCATAATAAAACATTAACAGTTCGTGTATCTGGTTGAAAATGCCATCTACCCACTACGCATCAGCGAGTTGCATAATGGGAGGTATCATTCGGCAGATTCGTACTGCTCAACGAAGGTTAAAATATTCAGTATATCTGGGCTTAAAACGGGCACATAAGAAGAGAAGCAATAAAACAAAAAAAACATATCTGACGCTCATCCCTGCAGATCTTCAGCATGGCTGGTCCGATGCCAACCTATACGAAATATTTCCGCTGCATACGTGTAAAAAAAATTACACGTGTTACAACACCTGCAGTAGACAAAAGCACAATAACCTTTGAAAACCGACGCCGTCAGATGTACTTTCTGTCAATATATACCATTTTTATGCAGAGTTTTGAGTACTAAACTTGCGAGTGGAAGTCCATAGAGGCGATCTAGACGGAAGCTATCACATATGTGTCCCCAACGACGGGGTTTCCAGTAAGTTTGTGTTATACCGTCGCAAAAACTTTTATTAACTGCCTTGAGTCTTAATACGACGAAATTAAAGAAGAGCTTCATTTTCCGGATGAAACTTTACAAGATGGAGATGATAAGAAGGTCTATCAGGAAGCCATAGAATGCCACTTTTGAGTTCGAAAACGATTCATCCTCATTGAAATCAACGCATATATGAGGGTAGTAAAAAAGCTTAGGAATTATGTTATAGCACGTTTATACTTTTGTTTTGGAAAAACGAATATTATTGTATAATATTGTTCAGTATATTTTCTTTTTATAAATCTTTTTTTGGATAAACATATTGTAGTTTATCATAGTCTGCGGGGACAAGTGGAATAGATTATCATCCACGTAATAATTTTAACTTTTTGGGAAAAAGTCAATAAGCCGCCAATTTAATACTAGCATATTGTGTTTATGTACATTTGTTAATGAATGTGTTCTTTAAAATGCGTCATAATATAACACGCTATGTATTATGTTCATGTTTTAAAATGGGCTGTAAGACAAATAGTTAGATATAATATTGAATATTATTTTAATTGTGATTGATGAAAGCGCGTAAATGGGTGTTTTAATGAGGCAATTTACTTTTCTTGCTCGCCAATGATATTAAACCTATAAACATATAAAAAGTTCAATGGTATAGGAACGCAATAAATACAAACGCTTATGCATGGGAAAATACGACCTTTAAGGCAATCTCTGCCATTATAAATACTGTAAATAACATTTATTCGCTTATCGAGTGGTCACAGACAATCAGGCATGCCTTAGATATGGCACTGGAGTTAAACAACGTAATACTTTGTTGGCTATGCGGAGCTCATCGTGAACATTACCGCGCGCGTAGTCAAAGACTGTCCAAATATCTTTGAATACACCAACATCCGTGATTTCACAAACAACTGTTATTGCACGAACACCGTGATCCTATTGAAGCAGACACTGTAAGAAATGAAATAATAGCTATGATTGAAACGATTGCAAATTTCTGATCTTGGTTAAAAAAAACCCTGAAAATAATGCTAGTTACTGAGGGAAGTAACAATCAAAGAAATTTTTCTTTATATACGCATGCCAACAGTGGATCATCTAAAACAAACAGCACCACATCGTGGAATATGAGTACCAAACCGTAGTCGAAAAACTAAAACTTGAATTATCGAGACCCATAGTTGCATCGGAAAAACTTGCGGTTTCAAATAAACCATCATCTTTTGCTAATGCAACAATGGATGCCAGTACAACCGTCACATGAGCGTAATCTATACGAACAACAAGAAGTACAAGAAAAGACGACGTTTTTATTGTTATGTGTGTTTGAAGATGCACAAAACCACTCTATTGGTATCGAGGCTGAACAAAACCCTCATCCATTACATCTGCTATTACTACTGAAACTGCTGTATGTTCGCAAAAAGGTACAGCGATTGCAAGTACCTAAATTTAAGCTGAAAAAAAAACAAAAAAAAAAAAAAAACGCAGTGGTGAATTAGTAAATCATGCAGTAATTTTTCGCACACAAAAGACCGGATTATCCATTGGACAAAGTGGGCAACATGCCCATGGCCCAAGAGGCCACATATATTATCATCTGATTTCAAAGGAAGCGTTGATAATAGCACAACAACCATATCTATGGAAAAGGCAGAAGAGCTATTGGCCCCTATTTGTGGCTGTGGCCAGGGCTCCAAAAGGCCTTAATCCGGCCACGCACGCACACACACACACACACACACACACACACACACACACACACACACACACACACACAAATACACCAGGTAAAAAAGATGCTCGGCAACTGTTATTAAATAAGATTCTTGGAATCTTACTGTGTTATAACAATCTGGTATCTGTCGACTTAAAACGAATATTGTTCTTAGCGATCATCTAATTGTGCCACTTAACAGAAAGTCATCTAATATAAAATTACACTGTAAAGATTCTCGATACTTTGGAAAAATACACCGAGTCTGGATAAGACTGGAATATTAACAGATATACACATGCTGAAGTAAACATCTCCCCATATCAGTCATTTAGTGAATCAAGTTATATTCCAACACCAGAATGTGTTTCGTCACTGTTAGTGATAAACAAATAAATTCTGATGATTGATGGTTTGAATTGGCAATTTTGTCAGCATTATATCCATGTAGTGAAAAAAGCAAATCCACCTTCGAAAAGAAACGGCAGCACAATATCAAACTTATTTAGGTGATATAGAATTTCCCGTGAAGGTTAATAAAGCCACACTGAACACATCTGAAACAAACAATGTATCAATGCTAATGTGTTTACTTGGGATAACAGATTTTGTCCGCTTGCACTATCCACAAATAAACCAATAGAAAGAACGACAGGTTAATATTTTTTCTTCTTTTAACTTAGTGTTATGAGTGATTCAGAATCTCCATTTTCTTGTGTGGTTAAATAATCTTGCACGGTTGCTGAATATACACAGTAAACATACAGATAAAAGGTTTCCTTGCAGACGTTGCATGCAAGTATTTAACACCTAAGATCTGATCATTAACCATGACGGTAACTGTGTCGGGATCAGTGAAAACACGCAGTGGACAACAATGCCGCAACCAGGAAACGTATCTCAATTTACTGAACTCAATTTACTGAACTGTAACGAAATCAAAATATTCGTATATCATCTCTGAAAATCTCAAAATTTTGAGTGGAACATGCGTTCGTGTAGGGCTCTGCTTCCATCAGTCAGGACCCCACAAATAAAATAAATAAAACACAATTACAGCACAAGTTCCTGAATAAGTTCAATGAGGGTTTAGTTTTATAGTAGACGTGAAGGTACACGTAGCCATCAATTGATCCGGCAGCAGCTTTGTTCACCCGCCTACACGATTAGGACTTTTATGAATTTTATGAATGAATTTTATGAGGCCTTTTATTAATGGATCTGCTGTGATCCTTTCGATGGTAGAATACAAGG